CCCCAAAACCCCAAAACCCCAAAACCCCAAAACCCCAAAACCCCGAAAAATTAATTACAGATTGCAACATTATAATAAAATGGGTTCTTCAAATTCCATATTAGTCAGTAAAGATCATCTAGAAGAAAGATTTTTCTGAAATGTCAAAATAGACGATAGTCATGGTCCAGATTACTCCTTGATCCAGTTGCATGAGAGCATACTCTTTGTCAACCAGAAAGAGGTTGAGATGAAGAAGAAGTTAGAAGACAATGTCAAAGTCAAAGACTATTTAGCCATAAAGTAACTCCCATCTCCTAATTTTTCTAGACATGATGCTATATTCTGCCTTAAGCCTGCCGACGAAATGCCTCACACCTTGGTGATTGGCTACACAGATGAGAAGAAGGTTCTAAAGAAACAGTTATTTTTCAATGAGAAGAGTGATTATGACAGGTTTTTAGCCCATTATTCTAAAGTGTGACGATCCAGGGTGCCCTGTGATTCCAGAAGCATTGCCATATTAGTCAACCCTATTAGTGGCAAGGGTAAATCTATTGAGTACTTTGAGAAATATCTCAGGCCCATGCTTGAGATGTGAGGTATTCAGTACACCTGCAGGTGCACTTCAAGCGAAACTTATATTGATGAATGGGTTTCAGCGCTTGATCTTTTAGAAACACCTTATACGGACTTCGTTATGATTGGTGGAGATGGAATCCTGAGCCAGTTCATGAACGCGGTAATCAAGCGGGAAGACCATATGGACATCTTCAAAATTCCGATCGGGATCATCCCCGGAGGTTCTACCAACGCGACAGCTTGAGATCTTTCTGGAAAGAATCCGATAATGGCATGTGTCAATATCGTCCGAGGGTACACCATCGAGGCAGATATGTTGAAATGCACCTTAAAGAACCAGAAGAAGACCATGCTCACTGCAACCGTTACTTGGGGAAGTTTTGCAAACATCGTGCATAACGCAGAGAGATGGAGAAAATGCTTTGGTAGTTGAAGGTACAACGTCTGAGGTTTCAGAGAAATTTTCTTAAAATGAAAATTCAAATCCTACAATGCTGATGTGATGTTTAAATCTAAGAAAACCGATGAAATTTCAACCCAGGTTGGGGAAAATTCTTCTCTTGAGGAGAAAGAATCGGACCAACCATTCGTGGCTCTTAAAAATAATAAGTTTACCTTTTTCAGCATCGTATCGCACGAGTGAAGGTCGTCGAACGATGAGTCCATCTTGGCTCCTTTTGCAAGGTACTCAGATAAGAAATTAAATTTTATTTCAGTAGCTGCAAATAATAGATTTGAGCTTGTAAAGGTAATGACAAAGATGATCAAAGGAAAACATTGAAATCAGAAAGCTGTTCAGACTAAGAAAGCTATGGAATGAATAATAAAACCTTCTTCTGACTCTTACTTCAACATTGACGGTGAAATATACCCCAATGATGAAGCCCATGTGAAGATTCTTCCCAAATTTCTCAACTTGATGGGTAAGCTTCATGAAAGGGATGGGTATCAGAGAACCTTGACTGAAAAAATTGAGAATGAGACTACTCGTGAAATAATCTAATAATTTAATAGGTTATCATCTTTAACATACAATATTATTAAGTGATATTGGGGTTTTGGGGTTTTGGGGTTTTGGGGTTTTGGGGTTTTGGGGTTTTGGGG